AAATTTTTGTTTGTTTTTTACATAAAATTTTATACAAATTACAACACTTGTTCGAAAACAGCTTTGTCGTCAAATAACAAAAGTGTCAAATGTCTATTTGCTTTTAACAATATTGCAGATGTTTTCGAGTGTTATTTTTTCAACATTTTTGTCAATTCATATTACATGACATTTAATGACAATTGTACTTGACAATCTCGTTTTTTTACAATTTTTTTGCCAATTTTACTACTGTTTCACTTAGTTTAAATAAAATTTTTAACAAATTACACCACAGCTTCAAACATAGTTTTTCTGGCAAAATATCATTTTGAGCATCTTTTGCGATATTTTGAGTACGTTACTCGCCAATTCAGTCAAATTCTTGCTTGTTTTTGACAATTTTGAGCATTTTTTACGCCTTTGTAAACTTATTTGCGTAGATTTCATGACATTTAAAAACAATACTTGTGTTTTTAGAGTATGTTTTACCGTTTTTTTGGCTATGTTTGATTTAATTTACATAAAGTTTTGTACAAATTACATCACTTGTTCAAAAATAAAATAAGACTATCTGGGTGTTATTTTAAGCATCTTTTGCGATATTTTCAGTATTTTACTCGCTAATTCTGTCAAACTTCTGTTTGTTGTTTGACAATTTTGAGCATTTTAAACGTTGTCTTTTTTTTTTTTTGAGTACATTTGACTTATATTCCAAAGTATTTAATGACAATCTTTGTGTTTTTAGACAATTTCAATGTGTTTTTGACAACTTTACTGAACTTTTGCTATGTTTGACTTGGGTTATATAAAATATTGCACAAAAGTTGTGTTTTTGACAATTTAGGTGTTATTCTGAGCAACTTTTGCAGTATTTTGAGAATTTTACTCGCTAATTTTGTAAAATTTTTGTTTGTTTTTGACAATTTTTGACATGTTTTAAAACTCGTGCTATTTTTTTTTTTAACATTTTTGTTAACAGTACATTTAGCAACGATTTGATTTATAATCCATAAGTTTAAAAAATACTTGTGTTTTTGACAATTTTACTGTAATTCTGCTATATTTGACTTAGTTTAGCCAATTACACCACTAGTTCAAATGCCAAAAGTTGTGTTTTTGCCAAACTGAGTATATTTTTGACACAACTTACCTTTTTATCGGCCTCCAATGACCTTCTATAGCCCGTATATCCCGGCCGATTCGCCATATAACTATTCGCCGAATAGAGTCCCGTGTAGGGCTTCGGTACTCCAAACACTTTCGGCGACTGTTGTGCCCCTCCTCCACTTTGCGGTGACTCCTCCCCTTTCGTCATTGGCACCTCCCTCTCCACTGTCAATCGTACGAATCGTTCCAAACCCGTTAACATCGCAACGGCTTGATCATGCGTGGCCCCCGTTAAATCCACCCCATTTATTGACACCACCCGATCCCCCACGCACAATTTTCCATCTTTGTGAGCAACGCCACCTTCCGTTATTCGCGACACGTAAATAGCATCCGAATCGGCCTTAAACGGCTGCGAACCCTTACCCCCCGCTATACTAAACCCAAGCCCTCTCGAGTCTCTAATAAGGGTTGTGTGCACCAACACTTTGTTTAGAACAACATCGTCGTCGGGGGGTTGAGGGGTGGGGGTGGTTGTTGTTGTTGTTGTTGTGTTTTCGAGTGGCCGTTTTACGAATTTTGTTACTTCGCGAGTGACTTGGAGGATGAGCACAGGACCGGATTCTTTAAGGACTTCGACGGCGTCGTAATGGCTGACATCGACGACCGAGACGCCGTTTACAGTAATGACTTTATCGCCGACTTTGAGACCGGCGAGGTCAGCAGGACCGTTTTCGGTCACTCGTGAGATAAAAATGCCTTCGTCGTCGCCTTTGAAAGGGGTGGAGCCCCGACCTCCAGCTATGGAGAGGCCGAGACCGGTGTTGGAACGTTCAATATGGATTTCGTACTTTTCCTCGCGGAGTTCTACCACTGAGTCCGTTTCGCCGGCTGAAAAAAAATAACATTTTTGAAAAAAAAAATTTTAAACACTCGAAATTTTTGACCAAATTTGACCCACAAAGCCAAATATTGCACTACTTTAGCTTCATTTCCCCCCAAAAAAGATTCCAAAATGCCGAATTTAATTTTTTTAATAAATTGCAGAAATTTATTATAAAAATATTATCCGAATATTTCTTCAAAACTACTTTTTTTCGAAAATCAAACGTTTTGAAACAAAAAAATCACAAATCATCTAAATTTTAATACTACGGGAAAAATCACCAAAATTTACAGATAACCATGTTTTCAAGAGAGATAATTCCATAAAAAATTACAAAATCACGAGATTTTTTACAAATAAAATTTCACGAATCTCAAATTTACATTTAAAATTCTTCAGTCGTCGAAAAATCTTCACTTCTAAGATGTCGAACGTTCCAAAATTCGACAAATTTATGAAATGTCAGCATTTGTTTCAACAAAATTTACACAAAACAGTGTTTCCAAAACCGAAAATTCCAAAATTTAGGAAATAATCGTCAAAATCTCCTTATAATTTAGTGGTTTCTTATAAGAAAACTTCACATTTTGAAAAAAAAAAAAAAATAAAAGCAGAACGAATTTGCGAAATCTTATAAAATTCTGATATCTTTTACTAAAAAAATCAAATTTTAAATATTTAATTTTTTGTCAAAAATTACAAAATTTTAGGATTTTCGTCCCCAAAATGTACAAAAAATATTGTTTTTCTAACCATATTAAAGAATTTGTACTTTTTTCATACATTTTCAGTTGAGAAAGTTGTTCAATTTTTAAGGGTAAAAAAATTGAAAAAAAAAATGGTTGATGGAAAATATAAAATAAAATATTAGTCATTATTTAAGATCAGAAAAAGTACAGTATTAAACTCGTGAGAAATGGCCATTTCCACTCGCCTTCGTCTTGTATTGTAAATTTCATCTTCGTGGAAATAACCAACATTGTCACTCGTTGATTAATATACTATTTCAAGACTAAAAATTCAAAAGTTAGGTAATTTTCTTGTTATATGACTAAAATTTAGTAGTTTCTTAGAAGAAATTGTTATAATCGATAAAATACGATATTTTTTTATAATAAAAATTCAAAAAGATTTTCTTTTTTAAAAGTTTCAAAATTTCAACATTTTTTTTTGACCAAAATAATGTTTCGAAACCCGAAAATTCCAAAATAATATTCGTCAAAATCTCATTACAATTTGGTAATTTTTGAAAATTAAAAAACAAAACCAGAGCAAATTTGCAAAATCTCCCAAAATTTCAACGTCTTGAATTAAAAAAATCAAAAAACTTACGTTTTAAGTTTTCCGCATTAAAAAAGTTAAATTCGACTAATTTATCAAATACGAGAATACAAAATTTTAATATTTTTATTGCTTTTATAAATAATTTTCTTCAAATCTTACTCACATTTGAAAAAAAGTTTTACATTTCAGAAAAAAAATTAAACCCAAAAAAATTCACAAAATCAACGTCTTTTTCAAAAAAATCAAGTTTTAATTATTACACCTACAATTGAAGTTCTTCATTTATCTCAAAACTTCACATTAAACAGGTTGATAGTTTAGAAATTCGAATTCGAAATT